GCCCGAATGATGGCTGCCGGCTCGAGTATTTTTCTAGTCCAGGTTCGAGACGCTGAATAAGACGGCGCCGCTCCGCTCGGTCGCTGGCGCCCTGAGGAATGCACGCCGCTCAACTTTTGTGTAACTTACTTTGCGACGCCAACGTGTCAATCTGCCCCCGGTAACGTAGTTTATGTATTTCCAGGTGCGGCGCGTGCGATGTCGTCTTATTGTACTGCCGGCCGGCTGTCGGCCGCGGAACTACGGACGTCCGTCCCCTGCGGCGTCCCCTAACGGCCACACAGGGAGCCGCGACACGACCGTCCCCGTCGACCGCCGTCTGTCGCGCCAAGATAGCCGCGCCACACTTTAATTTGTCGGCTCCAAATTGGATCCGGTGCGTGAGTGATAAGAAAATCCAACGGTGCACTTTTTGTTTTGTTTGTATTCCTTTTACATTTATAAGCGTGGTGGTCCCTGCGGAGCCCAGCAAGACGGGACTAGCAGCCACACAGAATATAAAACAAACATCATCTTGCAGCCGACATCAGGCATAACTACGCAATCATCGTCACGTTGGCCGCACAATTGCACACAATCAGTGACGGTGCCGACGAGCGGGGACTAGCGGGGGGCGATCGGCGGCCGCGCGGGGAGCGCTCTCATGGGATAACGAACACACCCTGCGCAAATCCGGACCGGGCTCCCCGGCTCCCCGGCAGGCAATCAACAACTTTTGTTCGACCAAACCCAATTTCACCCCCGGCTAACTTTTTCAAAGTAATCAAGCCGTGTCTTGTGATTTACGGAGTGTGCGAATCTGCATTGGTCTGCCCTCCGCGGCCGTTTGACTGGGATGAGGTAAGGTGATAGATCAGTCAGTGAGTGGGGAGGGGACCGGGGAGGGGTATCGGAGCCAGCGCCGGTGGCCGCGGCTCGTTAGGGGAGAACACTGTCCCTATTGTCGGCACTGCTGGAATATATTAGCGCCTCAGAGGGTGGCGAGGGCCGCCACGGGCCACCAATCACGGTAGACCGCTAATGCAGCGGTCAAATGGAGCCGGAAGCTATCAACCACCCACACTCTGTCCAGAACTGCACACACCTACACAAGTGTAATGCGGGTTGTGAATATAGCCGGCTCGTCTTGGGTACAACAATTACATCCGGTACAACAATTACACTTACAGGAGTCTTACGGAGGCAAATACTTACACCCAGCTCAGTACTACACTGCGGTTACTGGTTAAATTACATTAAAATACCCTTTCCCACATGTGACACGAACTATGTAAGGCCTATGTTTCTCTCCCATGCAGTTCAGAACTATGCCGCAGTTAGATGGAGTCGACACGCATCCCCCTCCACCCACGCCACAAGCGCGGCCCAATTTGGTGCCGTTTGGCGCACCTGTGACCTGTCCCAATAACAGGGGCGCGATCGGTGGATATTGGGTTTTTACCGCCATGAAAAGACCTGCAGCGAGGCCGTCCCAGCGCGCCGGCAACGCCAATCAGCCATCACAATTCCGCTAATGTGAAAACGCTGATGAGCTTAATAACTGTTAATGCAAGATGTAATGATAAGACCCTATCACGAGCTGGCAAACTTGGCACAAACGGTAGCACTCGGTGCATTAATGTATGCTAATTAACCCAGCTGTCACCAAAGTTCAAGTAATTGCAACTTGCGCTGGCTGTTGTCTTTGGTCTCTACGTGGCAACAGGGGCGTAGATTACCGCATTTTATGCCCGCTTCGTGGGCTCCACTTCAGCATGATTTACGAGCTGTAAACGTTGATGTAAAGTAGGTCCCGTGTGGGCGCCGGGCGTTCGACACCGGCTCGTTCTGTGCCAGGTCACCGGGACGGAAGCTCCGGCCGAAAACAGGGCAGAGCTGGCGGTAAGTTACGGCCGGCACGGCGGCCGCGCGGCGCACCCGTGGGCCGCACACCGACCATTACACGCCGGACTCGGCAACTGTCAACAATCTGCGGAGGCGCGCCCTGGAACCGATGGAAACCAGTGGCGGTGCAGTCGGGAACCAGCAGTAACCAATATCGACCGCCGCGCCGCCGTAAACTAGCTGTAACGCCCCGGGACCTATTGGTAAACAATGGCGACCGCTACCAAAAACCGGCAGTATCGACTCCAGAAAACATACGGGCCCTGCAACGGTCGTTGCAAGAAATCGAAGACAATTCTACAGGAAACCACCGTATACCAGCTACAACCAGGACACACCGACAACCTACCGCACAACGAATGCACACCACCCCACTGTGATCTATCAATAACCCGAGACAAATATATCAACACGCAACAGCGGCATCATACGGTGACAGCGACCTTGACCGTCCTCATACCGCGCTGGGTGTCAGGTAGTGACACGACGACCCGACCCCGGGGCGACTGACTGGGAATCCCGCCTGTGGCACGCAACAGCGGCCGTCGACAGGGCGACACGGCCACGGGAACCGCGGTACACCGATACTGTGGCACGATATACGGCTGTCGCTGGTAGTGACACGGCCCGGTGAATGGGGCGTCGGACGCCCCTGCACTGCACGGGCTGCCGTCGCCATTGACGGGACGGAGAGCGGCCGACGAGGCGCCCTGATGTAAAGGTCACGCCCCGAGCGGAGGAGACCATTCAGTCCCGTCATCAGTGGAAGAGTTTCGGTCTGTAGCTACCCGGTTCGGGTCTTTATATTAAGTATTTCAGATTCCTTATGACGTTTTTAAATTGAGTTTTCCACATTTCCGAGGCTCGTGTAAAACTGCTTAAAAAGGCATTGCTTAATCTTTTCAGAAGACCTTACGAAAAGAAAACCATTAATTATTAATATCAATTAGCATCATTATAAGAGCTAGACAAAGAAAGTGGAATATTTGTATTTTAGAGAACCAAAAGCTACTTGGAGCGTATTCCCGCAGAGGACGGAATGGAACCAGCCGGTCGACAGTAGAAAAACGTTGACGTATGGGCGCGCTGCCCCGAGACCATATCTGTCCGGCTCGCCATGTCGGCTGTTTGTGGCCGTTCGGAGACAGCGACAAAAACGGTGAAATCCCAACACAACCCTGGGACAAGGATCCGCCTGGCCACACCGAAATGATTAAATAATGGCTCACCGCGCCGGCCGGCCTGTTTCCGGCGTGCAACACTTCCTGGAGTAGGCCGTCGTTACTAACCCACGCCGACATTACACGCGAGGCGGAGGCACGTCCATTCCACGCGGGCGCGCCACATTTTCCCGCCACAATGCGGCGCCGAAATGTGCGTGCGGCGCGCGGCGGCGTGACATTGAACTGATGGTGACAATCTGGCGCGATCTATCTGCGCGGCGCGTGCCGCATTGTTGGCCGACTGTTTGTCGCTGGCTGACGGAGCACCACGCCGTCAGCGCTAATGCCGCGCCGCCGCCGGCGCGCCTGTTTGCGTGTCGTTACATTTTCACCGGGAGCACAGTGAAAAATGGGCGCCGCGGCGGCGGCCGTGTTTTCGGCACTGCGCCCGCCGACTGTTTGTCTCGGCGAGTAGCTGCCGTCTCGGCGGCCTCCCAGAGGCGCGCCGGCTCGTCCGCCGCGGCGCTCATTCGTGGCGTTATATACTCGTCAATCTTTGTCGTTTTAATTAAAGGGCCGTGCGACATTAAGTACAGCGCTGGTCGGCGGCCGGCAGTCGCCCCGCCGCCGCCGCTCGGCCGCTAAACTGGCCGGACGCCCGGGGCGATTTGCAGGTCGGCCGGTGCTGTCGGACTGCAGGCGCACATACAGGCCATCGACAGCGCCGCGTCCGCTCAACAGCGCCGGGCATCGATGATGAATCGAGCCGACGCTGCCCCGTGTGATAGCCGAGACTGCCGCCTTTCTCGCTGTAAACAGTTACCAGAAAATATATTGCTCGTAACGCTTACTTCAACTTGTTGGAAAATAACAGCTGCAACAAATCATCTTTTTGCGCTGTTGTGATTAACTACGGCATTTCATGATAATAAAGTTGTTTGCCACTTTTCTGATAAACATTTTGCTTGCAGCAGACATCTGAGAACGTCTTTAGGGCATAAGCTCTTATAATTGCTCGGATCACAGACATCGTAAAAGAGCCTTTATAGAGGCCTTTAATGAAAGCCCAACATTTGGTAAAAAGGTCGGCGTCCTTACAAAGACCAGCTGGAACGAATAGGGCACCCGCTGTCCGATATGTGCGGCGGAGGAAACGGAATGGAGGAATAAAATGGCATCAAAATCGGAAAACCGTTTTAACGGGATAAACGGCGCAATAAGGGAACGGAGCTTGAGAGGAAAATAAAAATATAAAAGACATTTTCCTGCTAAGTAAAAGGCAAGTTACGCAATCGTATCAACAGATAACCTCATTGACAACCGCAACGGTCATCACAAAGCTCAAACAAGCGTCGAAAACTAAAGATGTTTATCCGGCGGAGGTGACCGCTATATTCGTCCGCCTTACAGAGTACACAGCCAACACCTCTGCTGAACCTCGACAGACCCTGCAGCCGACCGCGCCAGCCATCCATCTAGTTAGACCGTCTACCTCCACCGTCCACACTTCTCGCGCCCCGGGCAGCCACCCGCCGGGACCTCGTCCGCGCTCGATTTCGCTCCCAATGCGCCCGACCGAAGCGTAGTTGCCGAAAACCCGCACGCAATCGCAGCCAATTTCGAATGCGTGTCGCGAATAACAACGAAACAGAGTGCATTCAAATCCGCTGAAAGCGCCTCGTACAGCTCTTCCCGAGTCCCTCCATAGATGGCACGGTCTGGGATTTGTTTTCGCTCCGGGCATTACAAGTAAATTCAATTCAGATGAGTTTCACCTTAGTTTATCCAGCATCAGTTTCACTGTATCATTAGAGCAATTGTTATTGCTTTTCTGCGACAAATTGGGCGAGGGCGGGACCCAAGACGAATGACGTCGGGGGGTAGAGGCGGGAGAGCGGAAACGGCGGCTGGGGCTGGGGCCAGGGGGCAGGGGGAGAGTTTCATCTGACTCACCTTTTGCAGAATGTGGTCCGGGTTGATTCCGAGTTCTGCAACAGAGAAACAGTCCCGTCACACGGCGTTAACTACAGAGGCGACTGGCATCGCCGGCTGCCAGCTCCAGCTCCCATTCTAATCACATCCGCCACGGCAGATGAGCTCCTCAGATCTCCAAACCAACGAAAATCCCGCCACCAATATGACCAGTAAAACGCCTTTTGGGCGAAGAACGAGCGAGCGAGATAGTGAGCCCTGCACGTGCGTAAGGGCGCGAAAGGATACTTCCAACGGGGCATGTGCAAAGCACCCTTCTAATCGGTCGCTAGCGGTGTGCCAAATTTGAACGCAATCGGCCCAGCCGTTCCTGAGATCTGGAAGCGGCATTCTGCACGTGCGCACGTGCAAACGGGGTCCAACCTGACTTTTGCATGGCACCCTACTAACCGGTCCCCAACCGTGTCCCAAATTTGAGCGCAATCGGCCCAGCCATTCTCGAGATCTGGAAGCGCCCCCTGCACGTGCGCACGTGCAGTAGCACCCTAACCGCAACAGATGGGAATGCATTGCCTGGTGGGTGCCTACATGTATGCCAAGTTTCAGCGAAATCGCCCCAGTAATTACCGAGTTATTGAAATGGGAACAAATTTGGTACCTCTTCTTTTTGTATTTTGCACGTGCAGTGGGGGTCACTCACATAGATCAAGAGTATCCGACCTTTGGTAGAAGGGATGCAGCTACTCTACAAAAATTACCGCAAGACAATCGCCCAAGCGGCTGCTGAGATATGAGCCTCTCAAAATCACTACTTTTGCAAAACAGCTTGAACACCCTTGACTTTTCACGTGGCACGTGCCACGACGGTCACTGAGATGTGTCAACAGTAGTCAAATACGGGGTAGAAGGGATGTGGCTACCCAGCAAAACAGACCGCAGGCCAATCGGTCCAGCGGTTGCTGAGATATAAGCCTCTCTAAAGCGTTACAGGCCGGGCCGGGCTGGGCCGGGCCGGGCCGGGCCGCTCATACTGAGATTTTTCCGTTATATTGAAAAGACTTCGCTTCGCTCGCTGCGCTCGCTCGCTCGTAATAATCACCGGTCGTTAGACGGCGTGTCACAATACTTCGACGTCGGCTCTGAAAAGTCCCAATCCCGAGAGCCGTCTCTAAACGTAAACACCGAGCACTCGCACCCGACGGCCGGGTCTCGGTGAGTCGAGCACGGCGCGCCGCTCCTCGCCTGTTGAGCGTCAACTTTGGCACCTGAGCAGCGAGCCGCGGCAATCTGTGAGCGGCTCTCGGGTAAGTTGGGTTCACGGGCGGCCTGCTCTCGCCGCTCCGCTCCCGGGGAGGGCGGGGCGGCCGTCAGCCGGCGGTCGGCGAAAAACGCCTCAGCAGTGTCCAATCAGTCGGCGCCGATCGACCGCCGGCCGCGACCCCTGACCGCGGCTCATTTCTCCCTTCTGCCCGGGCCGGACCGGACCATCCGGACCGCCGGACCGGACCGTCCGGACCGTCCGGACCGGCGGACCGAACAGTCCGGCCGGCGGCGATCGGGCGCCGAGCGAGGGGACTACTGTGCGGCTTTGTTCAAGCACAAACCCAATGACCGTGCGATGACAGTCGGTGCTCGTTCGAGCTTCGCGGAGCTTTGAGGAGCTCCGGCGGCTAGCGGTCAGACCTACAGCGACCAGCGAGCGCCTGCAGGGACTCGACCTGAGCCCAGCCCTACCACGCTCGGTCCAGACCCCTCACCAGTGGTGGTTGCAGCGGAACCGCATTGACAAATCAATGAGCAGCGACACTTACTCCAGATTGACATGCAGCCGAGTGGGAGCAATCGGAATGAAATTCCGCAAGCTGCCTCACAATGACACGAAGAACAATGTAATAATACCAAAGAGTTGTATTGTCAGAGACCTCCGGCAAATCAGGGGTTACAGAGCACGGTTACAAGATGACCAATCATTTCCAGGATACCCGACAACATTTGATGCTCGTCGATCGATGTTTCAACTTTCGAGAGCTTATGCATTCATGCTAACAAAAACAGCACACTCCAGTTATCATCGAAAGTCCTTCGCTCAGCGACTTTTGAAAGATCCCCACACATCAACGACTGCATTAATGCTGAGAAAAACAACATACTTGAGCTTTAAATCAGTCGTGCGATGTCAAGGTCTGGGAACCTTGAAAGCTTTCGATGAATCAATGACAAGTGTTGGTTATTTTTGGGTGCAGGGGCAGGATCTGCACTTTCGGGAGCAATATTACGATGTCATCATGCCAGTGGCTCATCCGGACCGGAAGGAAGTCAAAGTTACCTCAGCTGCCTGTAATGGGGTTTCCGCCATCAATCGACATTGCTCAGTCAGTAGAGATTGATGTCAGTCATTGGACGTTTGCCAGTCAGCTGACATTTTGATAGTCAAAAACTTTTGCCATAAGTACACAGTGCCGTGGTGAGATATTATTTGGTATTCGGATCCATTATCACTCGCAAAAAAAAAACGGCGACAGTCGAGATTGAGTGACGACGAATATCCTCCGTCAGCGTTGCCGATGAAGTGACAAGTTAGTTGGCAGAAAGTCAATAAGGTGATTCTAGGAAAAACTGGTGATGAGTCTAAGTTTTAGGGAGCAACGGTCATCAGCGCACAGTCTGGGGATATCCATTTGATAGTCTGGCTATTGCAGAAATATCCTCTCATGGCCTGGCTAGTGGTGGTAGGGATATCTTTTGATAGCCTTTCTTTAGAATGCAGATACATCTTTGATAGCCTGTTATATATTTCAGGGTAATCTTTTGATAGCATGGTATATACATATAGTGATTTTAAAGGGATGTCCTTCGATGACCTGGCTTTGAATACAGTGCAATCATTTTATGGCATGTCCACCTAAAGAGAAAAATTATCAGTAGCCAGACGACACATAATTGAATCAGAACCGTTGGTGGCCAGACGGCATATTTGCAGGTCGGCAGCGCCATTAGATAGTTCTGAACGTCTGCCAATCCTGAACTTGATAAAAGGCTGGCTATACCCGTCCTAAACCATGCCACGGTAGTCAGCTGCTTTTGCCGGTCCCGAACCATGCCAAGGTAGACAGCTGATTCTGCCAGTCCCGAACCATGCCACGGTACTCAGCTGATTCTGCCAGTCCTGAACCATGCCACGGTAGTCAGCTGACTGTCCGGAGAGCGAAGACGGCCGGTGGGCCGTCTCAGACGCCCGCCCACCGGCCCGCCCAGTCTCATCAGCTATGAGCCCGGCAGAATGAGCCTCTCTCATCCTCCCTGGCGACTAATCTGATTAGCGAAATCACGTTAATGACTCGCTCCCGGGCATAGGTAATCAGTTGGGGAACTTCAAATGGGCTCGCCGCTTTAAAATAAAGTAAAAATAGTCCATGGAAGAAAAGCCTGCACAGAATTTTCTCATTACACCGAAAATAGTGCAGAAAATACGATGTGGATTCCGGGAAAGTCGAACTTTCCTTATTCAACATAAACTGCTTTGAATATTGCAGATTGACGCGAGCAGGCTTGATACATTGAATTATGCAAAATCAACTTCGCACAAACTTTTCTTTGATCAACTTTAATTCAATCAGCCTTTAACCAGCCATGAGCCCTGGCGTTACCGGCCTGTCGGCGACCAGTCAGACTCCGCGGCGGTCGCGAGCCGGCTGACTGACCCAGCACCGCAGCATCCCAGAATTCAAATGCAGAGTCATCCGATTTCAGGCGGCCGTTTCAGGAAACAGCTGACTCGTTCCGGCATGTAAAAGGCCTCGTCCCACAGCTGTCTAACGGTAGCACTACACGAGTACGCCCGGCGAGGATTTGTGGTGAGCTCGCAACGTCCGGATTTTCTACTTCTTTTCGCTGCTTCAAGGACATCTTTCTAGCCAGCGCGATGTCATTATGAGGCATCGTCTCCTTTATATGAACAGCCCGTCCTCATTCGAAACGGAGACTTCCATTATGCGGACGAGGAACACAAGCTTTGATCATTTCCTACTCAGACGTCCGGAGAGATAAAGCCTGCACAGCCGTTAGACACAGAGTGCGACCCCTTATACTCATCAACATAACGACGAGAGCTTTCCTGCGCAAAAGGAAGCAAACATGGTTTGCAGATTAAACCTTTGCGTGGTCAAATCATAAAACATATAATTATCAAAAGTCAGACATCACTCTCATTCCAATAAGCCAGTCAAAAAGAGCAATGTTGCTTAACAATCGCTTCAAAGACTACATATGAATATGCATTTCTTAATATGCAATATTCACGTAAGATAAAAATGTCAACGCTTTTAATTTACACCGATGCTATTCGCAAAATCTAAGCAATCATGGGAAGATTTTTCTCACGAAAAATGGACATTGAAACGATTACTCGAAGCCCACTTAAAATGCGATGTGACGATATCAACACATCCTCGCCCAAGCATAAAGATATACCTAAGGCTGAAGTGTGAAATTGATCAACACCGAGGCTTAAGCTTGGAATCAAAAGCTTAATTCTTTCAGATATTAAATGATGCGAGCCTCTTTCAGATACTATCGATAAAAATCATATAATCGATTAACAGATTCTATGAATCGATAGAATCTGTTATGGATGCGAGGTAAAGTTTTTATCAATCTGTCCGTACACGAGCCCATGCGCTCAAGCAAATGCTCGCTTATTGGCACATCTGCCTTATGAGTCACAGGAAAAAAGTTGTCCTGTAACAACGTTTTCATGACTTCTCCCCGCCTAAAAAGCAGACGTCCCTAAATTCGTTCTGACGGGTATGTGCCCCTCGCTCTACGACCCATTCACCAACGGATCGGTTCGTACCGATATCGTACCGGTATTCCTGCACCCCCGGCGCTGTTCAGTCACCGCTGTCAACGCAGCTTCCACGAGAGCACGCTAGGTGGCTAGAGACCTGTGTAGACCAGTATAGAGGTTTATGCTAGAGGCCATTCGACAATGAGGCGCATGGGTCGTACTCAGCCCACCAATGGCACTTAGTAGCACATTCAAGTAGGCAGCTCCCAGTTAGGGACGAAACATAAGTATCCTGATGCAGACGGCCCCCAAACAGCATCCCGATCAGCGGCGTGTCCCTCGCGATGGGCGGCGAGTACCGCTCTGGAGCGGCGAGTCCCCTGCCCGAGCGGCGCCCACCTTCGAGCAGCGGCGGCTCCTGGTCGAACTGTCCGCCGGAGCCGTCCTCCGGGTATCCGGACACCGGGTCCGGGGTCAGCAGGCTGCCCGAGTAGGCCGGCACCGGCTCCGGCTGCAGGTACGGGCTGGCCGGAGCGCCGGCGCCGCCGCCGCCCAGGTCGGCAGAGCCGCCGCCGCCGTAGTCGAACGACTGGAAACCCCTGGCGGACAGAACGGGAAGTGGTAGTTGTGAAGTTGCTCGGTTGGCGGACGAGTTCGGTTTTAACGGAAACGATATTTTCGAATACAGCACCTTGACTTGGTGTAAAATTTACAGATAAGTCTAAAAATGATATTGGGCTTTTCATGAGATGCTTTATTTAAGAAAAAAATCAAAAGGTGATGCCAAAGCTCAAAAGTATTAGAGCTGGGAGCTCGGTGTAAAAGTTGGCTTGGTGTAAAGCTCGACTTGGTTTCATGACCGGAAAACAATCCTACGTTTATATTTTACTTTAGGCACATTTGGAAGTAGCTTACATGTTGTCTTGTTGGAATCCATTGGTGTCATCTCCCATGTTGTACTCTCCCCATCCATAATTCTGCTGTCCTTGGGTGTCATCATAAAACCCAGACATTTTTGCAACAGGTTATCTGGAAGAATAGCATGCAGTCAGAAAACAACCAGGAAATACAGAACCAAATGGCACAGGTATAGGATTAATTATCTTTGATAAGGTATACCTAACTTTAATTAAACACAACTCACCTGGTTCAAATTACTAGAAAAATTACTAGAAAATTAATAGAAATTACTAGAAAAAAAATAGAAAAATAACTAGAAAATAACTAGAAAGCAATGAAAAGGGTTGAGTTGTTGATTATTTCCCCTTTGCTGATAGTTTAGACTAGTATGATCATTTTCAAAAGTTTTCTGTACTAGTCTGTTTCACTTCACATGATTAGGTCATTCCTTTACATGAGCATTACATGAGCAGTCATTGCACAGATGGTAATCTAAGTCAAAATTCAAATAGGTAATTTCTGAATGATGCATGTGACACAAAAATGTCTGTCCAATGACCTTTTTAGAATAATGGCTATGCATAAAACTAGGACTAATATAGGTGGTTAATAAATTGACAGGTAGGTACCTAAACACTGTCAAACAAAACAAAACTTTGTTTGAGGCTTATGCAAGCATTAATTCTAGAAATGTTATTTAGGCAATGATACTGCTCATTGCTCTGGAAACCCTGAAGGCTGAATCACAGAACATTGGTTAAATGTGAAGATGAAGTCTGTTGATAAAAATATAATAACATAATCCACCCTAATTGCATTTATAGTAGAAGTCACACAAAGGTTTTCCATCTGAGGAGAGGTGCTGTTCTTGTAGGTCTGTAGGCTGTAGGGTAGGTTTGCAGGTTGTTAGGCTGTAGTTTAGGTAAGGTCAGGTTAGGTTAGGTTTGTTTAGATTTTGTTACAAAGGAAAACCATCGTATGACGTCTGCTCTACTAATAAAACCACCTTACCTACCTACTGGCCTAATAACCCTCAACATACCAGCCTACAACCTACATGACCATTACAGATGACCAGATGAAGTACCTACCCAATAATCAAAATTAGGCTTATTTTCGTTGCACATCAACATAGGTAAGCGCATAAGCGACACAACCCTGTAAGGAAGATTATTTACCTGGCGTGAACTCTTTGAAGATAAAAATAAATTTAATCAAAACTTTCCTAGCGTTTCTATTTCTCTCCAAAAGCTCCCAGACCCCCCTACTTCGCACATCAACGAGCTACATAAATGCCTTGAATTGCTTCATAAAAATCAAATTTTCAAGCAGGGTTACCAACGAGAATTTTTCTAAATCCCAAGATCGCCGCGCGAATTTCCCAAAATCTAGCTCCATATCCCAAGGTCGACAGGATCAAAGCCCAATGTGCATCCCAAGGTTTATAGAAACCAAATATAGAGCAAACAAAGTGTATTTGACGTATTTTCAAATCTTTGGTTGACTAAATAAATCAATATCGTTAACAAATCTTGCATTCGGCACAGTTACACACGCAGGCATAGGTACAGAGACACAGCCGCAGTCGCTCCCTTGCACGTTCCCTCACAGACGACACTGAGTTCTGACTTCTGACCTTCTGAGCCTGCACCCTCCACTCTCCAGAAAGACGAGCCGAACTCGAGACGGGTCGAGGGCGTCGCCGCCGCCCGCCGGCCGCAATACGATACGAGTTGAAGCATGATCCGTCGCAGTGGCGGATCCAAGGGGGGGGGGCAAAATGGGCATTTGCCCCCCCCCCAAACGGCATAATTTTAACATTACGCCTATGGACGATGCATGGAAAGAATCGATAAATTTTATGGTTTGCCCCCCCCCCCCCCAAAAAAAAAAACTCTGAGCTGGATCCGCCTCCGATCCGTCGGGCGTCGCAATTCGCAAACAGGCGGCCAGGTCGGGTGTTAATCGACGCGGAAGCCACTGGGTATTTCGCTAACTGCCTCACTTGAGAGCTGAGACGGGAGAAACCAAGTGAAGACGCGTCAAATAAGGATAACTTATTCGTGCTTCGTTGGTTGCTTGGTAAGGTACAGTGAAACCAAACGAAAGAACGCTCGGTTGTGTTCGGCCAAAAAGGACGGTTTACAAAAAAAAAAACAATTAAGTTGTGTTAGATGTGTTCCTGATTCTTTTGTTTGGTCTTTATTCATACTTTTCCTTGTTCCAATGATTAGAAAAATGTGCTAAAATTAGCGGGAGTCGTAAGCTCGGGACAAATCCCAAGGTTTGCTGTTGAATCCCAAGGTCCCAAGGTCGGGTTCAATATCCCAAGATCTTGGGACAAATCCCAAGCTTTGGTAACCCTGTTTTCAAGTCGATGTGCTTATCGTAGCAATAGCGCCATTTTTGTAAAAGCTTACGTCAACAGTCAAAAGCGAATTATTCTGTTTGAATGACATCAGAGGTAATATTTATAAACTGATCATTTATGCGTATTTTCTTGAATTATTTTTAAAGAAAACAATGTAAATTGCTTATAATAATTGTGTTAATGACATTGACTGTGATTATCTTGATATTTTACTGTGCAAAGCATTAATTTCTTTTAGAATGACGTCATTGATTCCCGATTCCCGTAATCATCATTCTAGATTTTTGGTACCTTGCGTTGATCTGTTGTTTACCGGCGCAGCACAACAGCGCATTCCTGTGACAGTTATCCTGGGTGTGTCAGAGGATAATTAGATTTTGGACTTACGAATACGAGTTAATTAAAACGGTGAGGTTTGTGATTTCTTACGATTCACATATTCATTTGGGGAGTGGGTCTTTACTTGGCAAGGGCGGATCGAGAAAGATGGTCTTGACACTCAGGGCATATCCCTTACCCTAAAAAAGGTTATCCAACTTGAAAATTGAAATTGAATTGCTAGATCCAATTTCTTTGCATCAGAGGACCCAAGATACACAGAGCTACCGCACTGCTATCTTAGATTTCCAAAGTTTTGAAAATTTTTGAATTTTCATAAGCATGGAAAATCAATTATGTTTTTGAAGTTTCTCCTATAATTTTTACGGTAAATGTTCAGGAGTCCGACTCACTTTTCACACATAAGTTTTGCACGTTCTTACACTTTTTGACATCCTGAATCCAGATATCATTATCATGCTTACCGTGGCGCAAAATAAAAGAAAAAAAACATAATCAAGCCTGACTTAACATCACCTTATTACCTACATCCCAGACTGGAATAAATACCTGTTATGCTGAATATGTCCGCTGTAGTGGCGGGGATTTCGTAAAAAAAATCAGTGATTGTCCTGCGTACCTTTCGCATGCGAGGAATTCAGCGCATGGCAGCGCATGAATTTTTCAGCGCAGGACGGCCGCATATTTTTTTGCCGAAAGACAGTCACCGAATTTAGTCGGCACTTTGGTTAACCTAGCAGCAGACTTGCTCTGCGGGCGGCTCTGGAGAGGTTTCGGGACGAGGCATCTCTGCCCCGGTCGTCGCGTGCTCGAACTTGCGAGCCGCCTTGAGTTTACTCAGCGGGAGCGGCCGCCCAGGTGAGGCGGTATTGTTCGAGCGTCGTTAAGTAATACTGCAGTGGGTTCCTACTTCCTGCCCAGTGCAGTATCGAGGGGAATGAGAGCGCGGACGACCTGGCGAAACTAGCGGCCGCCCTGGCCTACCCTCAAACGCCCGCTCGCTGACCAAGGCGGTTCATTGTACAGCCTCGCATCAATGGCGCGACAACTGGTCCGAGTCAGTATTCAAGCCACTCTCTGGGAGCACGCCGCCGCTCCCTATCCCCGGAGAGGACCGATAGGACGCCGTTTCGGTGCACCAGATGAGGGCGGGCCACTGGGGCCGCTCGCTACAGTACTGCACCGAATCGGCTGTCTCCACTCCGCGGCGTGCCAGCAGTGCCTAGGCAAGCGGTGCCCCGCGGCGCTCTGCGTCGTGTGCCGAGAAGAGGCTGATGTGCCTGATCACGTGCTTCTCCGCTGCCCGGCCTTCGCTGGCTCCTGCCGGCTGCCAGCCTCGAACACACCGCTTCGCCGATATTTGTGGCCCCGGAACTTCCGGCTCCGGCCTTGTTTCACGGCACGACGCTACAGTGCGCTAAACGTGTTGAGGTTTCGGGTCTCCGTGGAAATAAACCTTTATTCCGACGGTCAAACATTGCCATTGGAGAGCGTCCAAGTCTCCGGAACACTGCGTCTGGTTGATATAGGCTTAGCATGATTGTTACCTATTATGCTTGGATGTAAGCCATAATCGCCACGCCATATGTGGAAGGCTTTTGATGTCAATGTATACATACATACATATACAAAGGTGGCTTATTTTTGGCACAAATAGGTACCCAATTTTTGGCGCCTATCATGCAGAAATTTCAGCGCAAAATTGTTTGTGCCGAATTTCGGTGCAAAAGGGTCTCACGGGCGTCCGGCGTAGTGTATGGATGTTTTCCAGTCTGGCCTACATCCTACAAACCTACAACCTACCAACCTACAAGGCCTATAAACCTACCAGCCTACAACCTAAAACCTACAAACTTACAACCTAACACAACCTAGAACAATGCATACATACATACATCATTTGAAATTCTAACTACCTACAGGCTACAACCTAGAACATAAAAACCTACAACCTTCAACCTACAATATCTCCTGTTGCATATTTGTATCAACGGCGCCACAATTGTAGATCGGACCTTTTCTGAGTACATTTCTTTTTTTCTTCTTAAAACAATATATGTGAACTGATAGAACACATGCCAATTATCCAATTTAGGAATTTTTATCCCGATATCTTCGGAAGTAGCTAAGTTATGCACCAATGCTCTGTTCACCAATGAGAGCCAAGAGGACTAGAAGCATACTGGTAATTCATTCCTTTATAATGCCATTGTGAATGACATATGACAAAACTGGTATGTGTCTGTGTCTGTGCCCGTCAGCCATAACAATGTCTGATGAATCTGGAGACACCGGTGCCGGAAAGGCTGAGACTCGCTGGCTGCCGCTCGAGTCTAACCCAGAAGTGATGAACAGCTTCCTCTACAACCTGGGACTGTCGGCCAAGTGGGCAGTGACCGACGTGTTCGGCATGGAGCCCGAGCTGCTGGCCATGGTGCCGCAGCCAGTGGCGGCTGTCCTGCTGCTCTACCCACTCACTGAGGTGGTAAGTACTGCTGCTGCTCACTGAAACCAATGCGGGTTACTTGTGTCAATGTCACTATGAATTTGTTTCGTCTAGGTGTGTTATACGCACCGAGGTGTTCACTTCCTCCTCCTATCTGCAGGCCCAGACGGCGGCAGCCAACGAGGACAACAAGATCAAGGCCGAGGGCCAGGTGATGTCGCCCAAGCTGTACTTCATGCGACAGACCATCAGCAACGCCTGCGGCACCGTCGCCCTGATGCACGCGCTCGCCAACAACCAGGAGGCGTGAGTAGCGGACGGGGTGGGGTGGTCATATCGGTACTTCACTTATGGCTTGTCAGCTGGGAAATGGAAGCCTGCAGGAAGATCGCAAAAACATCAAGGGATCGTAAAACCAGCCTGTTGATAATGATTTTGTGTTCTACATTATCGTCGTGCATCGTTGACGCTTCCGTTTAACCACCGATCACATTGCCCAAAAACCCCAATTCATCATCATCATCATCACCGATCACATTGTGGTCATATATGCAATATGCATCATATCCGATGAAAATATCTGAGCGGCGAGCGCATTCGTATAATGAAGGACTGCAAAGTGCAAACTGAGCCGCTGGCAGCCATGTTCGTCTCTTCACCCCCCCCCCCCCCCCTTCCCCGTCTGTGTTCACAGTCTGGAGCTGAGCAGCGGTCCGCTGGCCGAGTTTTTCAGCCAGACGGCCGGCCAGACTCCGGAGGAGCGCGCAGTCTCACTGGAGAAGTTCCAGCAGCTCGAGGCGGCCCACGAGGCCGCTAGTCACGAGGGACAGACGGAGACGCCGTCGCGTGATGACAAGCTGGACAAGCACTTTATTTCGTTTGTCCAAGTGGACGGTCATCTGTACGAGCTCGGTAAGTGGATGGCATCGATCGGTCGGCGGTCGATCAGTCCAACGGTCGATCGATCGACGGCTGGATGGTCGATCATCACACAGCAGCCACTGCTGTGTGGCTTGCCATAGAAATAATATGTTTTGTTAAATCTAGTTCTCGGAAGCATAAGGCGATGCTGTTGTTCTTCGAAGAAGTTCCTTTTCGACGGCTAAGGTTTTGTATCTAAGAAAATGTCATGAAGTTTATAAATCGTGAACGCCATTTTCCAGTTACATGCCCTAGCCACGTT